CCCTCCCCCGCAGGTGCTTGGCTACTAGTCTCTGAGGCCCTGAAGGTCTGCCGGCGTCTCTGCCCTGGCCACGCAGACCGAGGCGTGCTGGGCCTCCGTGACGGGAGGCCCGCATGGCGCTCCTGCCCCACACGCAGCCCTGGGGCGGCAGAGCCTCTCCTCAGTACTCCTCTGCCCGGGCCTCCAGCGTTGAAGTACTGAAGCAGCCTTAACCTTTTATGCATAAACTTTCTGTACAACTTTAGGGACTTTCTTTACGTTCAAATCATAATGAAACCTGTTAACTAAACCCTGGCCCTGTGGTGGACCTGTCAGTACAGAGCAGTGAGGGCTCAGGTATCTGCTCGACTGATTTTACAATTGAAACATTATGAAAATGTCTCGATAATAAACTGAAGAGTTGCCTCATAATCTGCCTGGCAAGATATCTGCCACAGTTGGTATTCAGGCCATTTTATTCTTAACTACTGTGTTTCTTTTCTCTTGTGGTAGATGAAAATGAAGCAGAGAGACCAGAGGAAGAAAAAGCTAGGTGAGTATCTTGACAACTGGAAGTCATTTAGCGTGGCTGCACAACAACTTTCTTCCCAGCTGCTTGAAAGTCCATAGTGCCTGAACACACTCTGGTGTCTTTGAAAATCTCCTTAAGATAGTGTGTTTGGTGTGCTAGAATGACTTGGCTTTTCTGTGAAATGGTTTTACCTGTGAAATTGGAACACTTGAGTATGAAAGTTTTTTTAACTGTATGGACATCAATAACCCCTCACAAAATGCCAACAGGTCTTTTATTTCTGTAATCATTGTACTTTGCAGTCTTAGTAGAGGATCAGGACTTCATTTTTTCTAGATAATGTAGAAATTAAAAGACAGTCTGTCTCCCAAACAGTTCACAATGTAGTTACAAAAAGAGGACTACAAGGAAGCAGTGGAAGATTACCAGCTAGTTTTTACTAGTAAGAGAGTATTTGAAAGAAATTTAGAAAAGCTTTGGAAGTATTTGGGAGAGTCTGCTTAAGTTATAAGGAGCTATATGAAAGAAAGCACAAAGATGCTCCTTTGAAAATCTGGCTAAGTTGATGGAGGTTGGTAGCAAGGACTGACTGGAAATAGGAATCAGTCTCTCATACTGAATGAAAGAAGTCTCAGAATTGATAAACTGTGGAAATTGTTGATTGTCAGATAAGTTAAATAAAAGGGAAGCCAATGCAAGAAAACATGCATTGTTATTTTCTAGAAATGCTTCCAGTCAACAGAGATTTATTTTTATTCTATGAAAACTCCTGGATTTAGTTACCCTTGGTGGACTTTCTCTCCATAACCTTGCTCAGTTGCTTTTTTGAACTGATGCCAACTTTTGATAGGCACAGTGCAATACAGCAGTAATGACCTCTACGACTTGACTACATACAATACCATGTTGAAGCAGCTACTAGATACAATTATTTGATTCCTGTTTATTCTTGTAGTATAAGAGAGAGCGTTGTTTCCTGTCACCTTTTCCATGTGACTTAACAGTTTTCTAGACCTCTGTTGCATTCATCTGGAATCATCTCTTTTCCAGGATAAAGAATTCTAGTTATTTGTTTGCTCTTTATTTGGAAGCTGTTCCATATCAATTGATTTGTTACATTCAGTTACCTTTTCTTGACCTGGCACCTTTTGTCAGTATTACTGTTGTTTAAGAAAATTATCTGCTTGGCAACCAAAATGATCTTTAGAAACAGTGGTGTTTTACTCCAGTTTCTGGTCAGTTTCACTGCCTCAGTACATCCTTACCAACTAAAAAGCTTAACAAATGGTAGCTTATGCATCTTACGAGTTGTGTTTGGAACTCTGGAAGTGTGGTGGCAGTTTGCCTGTTAAAAGTTTTGGTCTCTGGCCTCTCAGTTTTGGCACTGGATATAAAAATCGTGAGGTTTTATTCAGGTTCTGTAGCTAGTCTGTCATTTTCCTGGGTGATGAAGTTAAATGGTCAAGCTTGAATACGGGGCCCATGCCTGGGCTGTGTTAGGTTTTGGTGTAATGCTTATGAGTGAGTGTTTTGCCAACAGAAGATAGGATCAAAATCATTCTATTCAATAAAAATTGTCAGTTGCTCACTCCATTTCAGAACTGTATTTTCAGTGAAAGAATATTGTTTCTAAATGGCTCTCTGCTTACGCTGCTATTTGTGGTGCAACATCCTAGTAATTAATGGAACTGTGGAAATTAAAATACTGCTGTGTAAGAAACAGCAGTAGGTAAGCCCAGTGAGACGCCTCATTTGCATGAATTTGGCAGTGCTGTCATTTTAGATGGACCAGTGGTTTTAAATTTTTTACAGTTTTCAGTCTACAGTTAAAATATAGTTGAATTCATCATTGAATTGTAGCTATTCCATATGGTGGAAGAAAATTTCACAATGCAGATGGGGGAATTTTGATTCAATGCAACATTACTTATGGATGTTTAAATTTTTTTTCCATTTTGTCTTTGAGAACTGTCAGTCTGCAGGGGAAAAAAAAAGCTGTTATTCTCCCTTCATATATTATGAAAGATTTCACTTTCATTTCAAAAGAGAATCCAGGTGTAGTGCCTTATTACTTCCAATGAATCTACAAATATCCAGTTAGTATGATTTATGATAGCTCAATATAATTCTGCTAACATAAAGCTGTATTTGACTAGAAATTTTTTTAATAAATTAAGTTTTTTTAATTAATGCAGAAGATAGCTGGAGCTTTGGCTCTTCTCTGGAGTAAGGCTTTCTGCATCTTTAGCTGATATGTGTGAGATAATAGTGCATAAATACCTAGTTTCATCTTTTCCTGTCTGTTTTTGTTTAAGTGCTCCACCCCCACCTGGAAATGAAGAGGAAGCTGCTGAAAATGGCGTTGTGAAAACGGTAGTTTTAAATGTGTTTTTGAAATGCTGCTTTAATTTCTTTTGATTTATGGAGTATTTGTAGTTTGGCTAGGACTTATAATTAAATGAATTAATGCGTAAGTGTATGCCTTTGATTTTTTTTTTTTCTGAAAGGTGTTTGACACTGTCTGCAGAAACTGTAGAAATTGCTAAAATAGGAAATCCAATTTCCAGCTGCAGTGCACTTTTTAAATCTAACTTACAGAAAATAAATGAATAGTACTTCCGTTTTTGGGGAGGAGAAAGACAGTGCTTCAAGACAGCTGTCTTTTCTCAAAGACATCCTTTTCAAAATGATACTCTAATTTTCCTCACTGATAGGAAGCTAAAATCCTCTGACCATTTCTCTTTTGTGAATGTGATAAACAATCAGCATTTGCAGAACTGTGTGAAAATACGGATCAAGAGATGAATTACACATGCCTTTTAAAGGCAACGTAATAGACTTGTTTGGTAGTAGTCTTCAGTGTTCAGTATGGCTTGTAACTTCAGTGTTCACATGATGAAAGAAAGGACCAGGAAATTAAATGTACAGTTACAATGTTGATAAAAGGCCTGAGTTTACTGTGAATGGCAACAGTTTAAATCTATTCTATGAAAAAATTCTAAGTTTACTTCACTGGGATTTTTAGCTTACATCTTGCAAGAATTCTCTCAAGTGATGCAGAAACTGTTATCGTGATATTTTTGCAGGTTTTAAGGACTGGCCTGTCTCAAAAGTTTGTTTTTTCACTAAGTCTAATACTTTATTTATGAAAGATATTACAACTTATTTAAAGTTGGGGGAAAAAACTTAGAAAAACTTAAAAAACTTGTTTCAGTTGTTTAGACTGAAAAGCTCTTTATTTTAAGTGAGCCAAAGGCTTTTTGTACTGATGCTAATACTGTAAGTGGGCTGTAGATTTGATATGTTAGGTCAAGGAGACAATAGTATACTTTTTTGGATTCGCTGATTTTAAAATTCTGAAAATCCTCATTGGCACAGTTTTATTGTACTTGCATTTCTTTGTATTTTTCACCTATATAAAGCTTAGCATTGTTAGGATATCATTAGAACATCTCCATAAAGTTCAGAACTTCATGGTAAAAGGTGCACATGAAGGGTCAGCAGCAACCTGGAAAAATGGATGGTGTTCAGGTTAGTTGAATAAGAAAAAGTAAATATTTCTGTGAGGAGGGAGCTAAGTGAAATTGATTTGGGTTGAAAAGGTACATGCTCCAGACAAAATTTTATTTTCTGTTTGATGCTTTTGTAATGGCTCTCTACTGTGTAGGTTGCCTGGTGTATGAGAGAGTAGTGACCTTGTACTTTTCAGCAGTGCAGCATTGAAAGGCTGTCTGCTGTCTTCAGTTGTCATTTACAGAATATCTGTACAGATCTAGACTTCCCCCCCTTGATTAGACTCTTAATTGTTATGTAAATTATATTGATGTTGTTTAGCAAAGCTGAGCTGCACTCCCAGCATCTTATCTTCTGTGCATCTGCTTATTTTTGTCTAATTTGTGTACCAGGCAAGGTAATAGACGGTATAATAGATAGGGGCTAGAGCTCAGCTGTGGTTGGGTAACTGCAGGCTACCTGGGCGGAATCAACTTGCCTTTGATATGTTCAGCCTCTTGCTGAAGGATTCAAGAAGTATGTGAATAAGGGTGATCTGGTTAATAAAGTTCAGCTGGATTCCACAAAGTTTTTGAAGAAGTTTCTCACCAAAGGACTTTAAGAAAACCGAGCAGCTATAGGCTGAGTCCCACGTGGATAATTGATGTGTAAAAGGCAGAAAACAAAGGGTAGAAGTCAAGGTTCAGTTTTCACAGTGAAGGAAGATCACCTCCAGTGGGGATTCTCTGGAATGATGTGCATAACCTGTGCTGTTTAATGTGTTAATGAATTACTTGGAAAAAGGGTAAGTGGTGGGACCACCAGTTTTCTGATGTTACAAAGTTATTCAAGATAATAAGAGAAAGGACTGTCTGTGAAGAACTGACTGGTTAATAAATGGTTATTGAAATTCTGTATAGAAAAGGAAGAGTGATATTCATGGGAGGAAAACAGGTTTACAAATAAAATGGTGGTCTCTGAGCTGATCATTGCCACTTAGGAGGGATGCACTAAGATATGGAGAAAGATCCGTGAAATTGACTGTTAAGTGCTTGTCTGGAGTCTGAAAAGCAGTTAAACCTTGAGATGTAGCAGAAAATGAATAGAAAACAAAATGGAAGATACCATTATACTACAAATTCATGGTTCAGTTTCACCCTGAATTCTATGTGGTGGTCTGGTCCCCTGATGTTGTAAAGGCTTTACTTCAACTGAAAAAAGTTGGGAGAAGAGCAGCAAGAGTAATCAAGGTAGCTTCTGTACAAGGAATGGCTGAGTAGGCAAAGACTTCTCAGCCTGGAAGACAGACATACATGGTGGGATATGACAGAGGCTAACAAGTCCTTGCCATATGAGAACTGGGACTGTTAAATGAAAGTCATGGGAGCCAGGATGAAAACAAATAAGAGGTTGGATCTTCATGCAGTAGACAGTGCTATGGAACTCCCTGCCAAAGAGAGTGTCACTGCTGAGTGTTTATATAAGTCCAAGGGAAGCCTGGGCAAGTACTTGAGAGAGAGAGATCCTTTGGGGGTTACTGAATAGGCAAACCATAACTGGCTTAGGAAATGCCCTGAGCTGATAATAATCGGCACCTGAAA